AGCCAGAGTTGCGTGTGGGGCAGCAGTGGCCCTGGCCAGTTCCAATTCCAGGGAAGGTGCTCTGCCAGCTGCAGCAGGGCAGGCTGCACTCCCAGGGCTGGGAAGGCACCACCCTACAGCGCCCGGCTCAGGAGCGGGGTTAAGTGGGTATGTGGGAAAGCCCATGGGCTGGGAGAGGTGGGCACTGACCCGCTGTGCCAGGGGCTTGTAGGGAACTTCCCTTCATGAATATTACTGATGTTAAATGAAAGAAATCCCATGTTCAGATTTAGATCAGAGACAAGCTTTGCTGGTGATCATTTTTAATAAAACTTACATTTTTACAAACAGCGAAGTTTTAAAATCAGAATAGTATCAAGCCTGTTTGTTACTCAAGAGAGCTAAATGCAATCTTTAAATTGCATAGAAAGCATGGCCTTTTATTATACCATTCAAAAATGCATTCCTTAAGAGACATTGTTTCACGGAGAAATGGAGAGAGTACAGTTTAGTGGATAGAACAAGATATTGGAAATCAGGGCTATTATTTTTTTTAGTCTGCTCTTTGTATTCCTCTGTGTGTGTGTGTGTGTGTGTGTGTGTGTGATATTTATTAGTAACTGGTGGGTGCAACGGTGACACATCCGAACAAGTATACATGGCCTCAATATTGGTACACAAGACAAAACTCACTCAGCTCATGGGTGGAAAATCTTAGCAGGAACACTGCTTAGAAAGTATGACTATCTGAAGAACAAAAAATTGAAACTAAGAACAAAATTTTCATTGCCCAATGACAGAACAAACGGAAAGTGCACTGGTGGTGGAATGGGGAAAGGAGGTCACCCACTCCCATTATTCTAAAAATTACTCTCTCCCCTATTTCAAATTAACATTTACTATACTAGAAGTTCCCTCTGACACCCACGCCTTCAATATGGGCAATCACAACACGAACTGTGATTAAAACAAGTGAAAGTCTTGCTACAGTGAGATCTCTTTGTACAAAAGAAAAAAAACAAATAAGATTATCGTCATTTAAGTACTTCATCAAGAGTCCTAACCCTATCAGTCCTAAAGTACATTAAATTACCCGAAAAAGTACAATGCAAACCTTGGGCAATTGATAAATGTGAGTTCTAAATAGCTGACTTCTGTAAGGAACAACAGAACACACATTGTATGACTAACCTTCAAAATACAATAAATCCTACTGCGACACCCTAAGCTATGGCCCTAATCTGGCAAATTGTGTTTCATGTTGAACAACTTGCAGAATCAGGCCCTAACATGCTGATGGTGGCTATGCAAAAATATCAGCACTCTACAAGAGCTTGTAGAGATTTTTTTCTTAACATGAGCACCCAAATACTCCAATCAAAGATTAGGCCCAATGGTAGTAGGCACAGTGCAAATAGTAGTAACCCACTGATAAGCCATAATGTTTTGATATTATTTTTTGTTTATTTTTATGACACTGTTCAATTAAATTAGCTCCTAAACTTACAAGTTGGAAAAAGCTTTGATAAAACCTAATGCTACAAGGGTCATTTTCTGCTAAAAGATATGTTTAAAAAATCCTTACTTGAATTAGCCAGTTTAAAAACTAAGGTTTTTTTTAAAACCTCCATTTACTCTTCCCTGTTTTCGCAGTTTGTTTATTTTTTGTCCTTCAACCAGCTCAGACAAAATAATTTCACTTTCTGGGTTTCAAGCACTAGCAAAAAGGTACGATATTTCATATGCAAATATTGCAAACTTTGATTTAATGCTAAAACAAAATAATGAATTTTTAAAACCTATAGTCATTTCTATTCAAAATAGATTTTGTGAAACGTTAAAAAAACATATTCTTGACTGGCATTAACACAATGGTGCCTGAAAACAAAATTGTATTATCATATTTTTATAAATTTACATATTTCAACATGCTGTTTTATTTTATGTCTTTATAAAATTTGCCCTGAAATGTGTGCAACATCTGGACTAGGGATGTAAGCAACTAGTCGACTATCTGATAAGCATATGCTTATCTAATAGACAACTAGAGACTCAACTAGTTGCTTTCCCCTCGCCCATTGCTGCCTCTATCAGAGAGAGGAAGCTGGGAGAAGGGGCAGGAGCTCGTGCTGCGGGGAGAGGATTTAAAAGCTGGTTCCCCCCAGCACCATCTCGGGGTGGGGGGGCAGGAGAGGCAGAGGCATAGCAGGGCACTGGGAACTGATTCCCAGCTCACAATCCTAACCCATCCCCCAGCCACCCTGCTGCGCTTGCAGCTCTTAATACATTTAAAAGGCAGAGCCACAGAGGGCTTAGCTCCCAGCCCAGAAGCTAACCATGCAGTTTCACTCCCTTTAACAACTAATTGACTAGTCAAGTGAAAAGGAAAACAGACCATCCTCTCTTCAATGTGAAAGTCAAATTAAGTTCAAAAAGAAAAATTCAGAAAGAGCAATGAAAGATACATTTGATTTTAATCTTAAATTTTGCCAATCCTCTATGAACTTTTAATGTAATTTTTAACCTGACAACATCTTCTTATGCCTTAATGTGAAAGCACATTTCAGAAAGGACATCATGAAAATAAAGATTAACAATGAAGTCCTGTTAATTCTTCACACCTCAAACAACAACAGATGGGGGAAAAAAATCTCTAAAGACCTCAGTCTATGAGGAGCAACATGACTTCTCCACCCACCCTGAACACCACACCACTGACTTCAATGGGGCTCTGCATAGGCCCAAGGTTTTACCCACTTGTAGGTCTGAGAATCAGGGCCAAATTATTTACAGAAGCAAAAGTGCAATTAAAGTTTTAGCTACTCAGGGCTCCTCCTTCCCTTACCCCTGTGAATTTATCCCAGTCCTTGGTCCCTAAACTTTGGCTTTTAGACATTGAGCAACCACGATTCCAATTGAAGTTATGGATGGATGACACGAATGCACAGTATTTCAGAAAAATTCAGGTCCTGAAGTAGTATCCTGCAAGTTTATATTTGGCAAATCCACTTGTCATATGCCAACACTCCAATGCAAGCTCTTTGGGGACCAGGACTATCATCTTCTATGTTTGCAAAGTACCTCACACAACAGTTGCTGCTCTAGTTGAGGCATGCAGGCACTACTGCCATGGAAGTTCTAAACTAACTTATAGATCCTTATTCAGGACTCAGTTCTGCAAGATGAGGGGCACTGTCTGCTAATAATGAAGAGGAAGTATTGCAGCTTTCAGGATCAATGCCCATCCTCCCATGCAGTTTCTAGAAAGAGACACAGGGTCTTAAATGTTTTCATAACTTGTATATATTTTGCCAAATATTAATACTGTTAACATAAAAATGCATCATTATATGAAAGTATTAATCCATCAAATACAATCACTGCCTCCAAAATTTCTGCTGCTCTATCACCTTTTCTGTACCCAGAGTCTTTTCTACCTCTGAGGAAAAATTTTCATAACAAAACCCAAAACTCAGGATCAAAGAACATTTGCAACCACAAAGCCCACGCAGTTCTGCTAACCGAAATATCCACATATTCTTATGAGATGCATGGAAACAACATTATCTATAGAGCCAGGACCAGTTTCAAGCACACACCCCCACGAACCCAGAGGTAGTAAAATCTTTGTTAACAATAAAATATACATTTTTAATAAAACCACATGCATCTTCCAAGATCCAGCATCAAACACCAGAAACATCCCTACCGCATTTCACAGCCTCAGAAGCTGCGTTGTAAACACACCCCCACAAACTGCATTTCAGTCTCTGGAACCTCTTTGCACAGCTACAATAAAACAATCGGAGCTGCTCAGCTGAGCTTCAAACGCCTTATTGAAACATCCACTGCAACAAGAATCTGATCGCTGTCAAATCAAAAAGTGATTTCGATTTTCAACTGCCTTTGCAAAAAAGACCACCCCAAAAATCGACGAGTCAATAACACGCACAACGGTGTTAAATGAAACTGTTTCATACACCACCGTGTGTGCCGTAGCAGAGCAATGGGGGCTGGGCAGGAAGCTCTGGGAGACAGAACTGTACTGTAGCGCGTATAGTTTAATAATCCCAGATGGGGGAGGGTTTAGCAGTTTGTAATAACAGTAGCAGCAACATGGATCAGGCCTCCCATGACCCGAGTGCAGAACCAAAACAATGAGGCTGAACACTCATAGACTCTAGGCTCAGAAGGGACCATTATGATCATCTAGTCTGACCCCCTGCACAGTGCAGGCCACAGAATCTCACCCACCCCTCCCAGAATAATCCTCTCACCTATAGGACAATGTAGCACTTTAAAGACTAACAAGATGGTTTATGAGATGATGAGCTTTCGTGGGCCAGACCCACTTCCTCAGATATTGAAGCCTTCAAATACACGGGGGTTTTCTTTGAAGAAAAACCCACCCACAATCCGAACGGGCTAACCTAGGAAGCCACCAAGCTAAACAAAGCCCCCCGATGTATTAGAGCCTGAAAGGTGAACCCGGTCCCAACGCCTCTCAGCCCCCAACTGGGCGTGGGGGCGGCCTCGCATCTGCGGCTGTGAACCGAGGGAGGCTCCATCGCGGACTGGGCTTTGCAGCCTACAAACCGGCTCCAGCTTCCTGAGCTGGGGGAGACCAGTGGCTAATCCACCCCCCCCACAACACACACCCCACCCGGGGTCAAGCGCCCTGAGGGGCTCCCCGGGGCTCCATCCCCCGGCTTTGTTCCGGGGCGCACGGGTCTGAAGCGGGGATCGGGCTGGGCCGAAGCGGGCACGGAACGCTGGGCAAGGCGGCGTTTGGGGTGCTGGGCTCCGGCCCGCTACAGCCGGGGGGGGTGGCGTGAATGAGTGAGACGGGGTTGAAATGGAGACCAGAGGGGGGAGGGGAAGCCTGGGGCAGGTTCCCTCCGGGCTCCAGGCAGCCTCTGGCTCAGGCTCCATTTTAGGGCTGCCTTGGTCCCATCCCCCCCCGCCGCATCAACCACCCTGAATAAAACCTCTCAGCCCCGCCAGCCGACCCCAATACCCACCTGTGGTGGTTGTCGGGAGCCGGGTCTGCCTGGGGAGCCGAGTCAGGAGGGTAGATGGGGGCTCAGGGAGCAGGATGGCTGCGGATTGAAAGGCAGAGGCGGCGCTGCCTGGATTGCAGGTTCTCGCTGCCTCTCTGTGTCTGCCTCCTCCTCCTCCAGTCCTCCCCCCTCCCCTGCTCCTGCACGGCCTGTCAATCCCCGGCCTGGAGTGAGCAACTCATCCCGCAGCCAGAGGCGTACAAACCGGACAGCGACACCTGCAGGGACTCCAGAGGAAAGCCAGGCGCACCGCGCCTCACAGGGGTTAACGATAGAGGCGAGGAGGTTGAAAGCAAAACGAGAGAAGAAAAAGAGAGAGAAAGGAGGGAGCGTGCCGGAGAGGGAGGAGAAAGAGCGGGAGAAAGAGAATTAAAGAGTCAAAGACATGAGAAAAAGGGGGAAGAATGATTGGGAAAGATGCAGAGGTGCCTGCAGAACTGTCTAACTCCAGCCTCTGCTCTGGGGAGCTCTCTTCTGCTCTGATTCCCAAAACCTGAGGGATTCTGGCAGAGGACAGTACAGTATGCACCTTGATTACAGCCCACAAGAGGGGTCATGAAACTGATTGCAGGAGGAGAGGATGGGAGCTTGGTCCTGCCAAGGCAGACACTGGCAGGGGCAGCTCTGGGATCCTGGAGCTCTACAGTTGTCAGGATTACTTTATAGTCAGGCAGAAACTATTCTTTGGATTTCAATAAAAAGCCCCATGGTGATTAGATGTGCATGCAAAAGTGAGAGAGAAGCCTAGGCTGGACAGGAGGTTTGGTCGAGAAGCTGCAGCCAAATACCAGGCTTTCCCATTTCTCATTGTAGGCAGATATGATATGAAAGTTGAGAAGAAGTCAATTAAGGAAAGAAGGAAGAGGAAAGTCTTTCCCTTGTCTGCAAGGGCTTTAGATTGAGCCCAGAATGCACAAAGGAGGAAGCAGTTTCTCAGTAAAGTGAGAAGCCATGGAATTTCTGTCTGTCTCACCCCGCTCTCTAAACATTAAATCAGTTCCCAAACTGGCAATGATACAGCACCCCTTAATGCAGCCTTGCCATGGAGTGACCACCCTTTTAACACTGAGATGGGAGCTCATTTTCCATAACCCATCTCCCTTTATTAAGGTTGCCAGCAAGGAGTCCTATTAATGGCAGATGTAGTAGCAGTTGTGTGGCATGGATACCTGTCTGGTAAGAAGTGGCCTGAGACCATTTCACACTGGCTGCCAGATACCTGTCAAACACCGAACCTTTTTTTCTTCCTACCTAAATTTAATGTCTCACACATGATTCTTCTTTGATTTTATACCTCAGGAAATCACTGTCGCCAGCAGAGAATTCCCCTCTCTGCCTAGCATGTTCCTGTTTACATTGGGATACATAATAAGATAGCAATAGAAAATTTAATTCTCCTTGATTATGACATTCATATTTGGTGCCCATCACTCTACCATGTACTGTTATTGTAGGAGGTTTCAGTACCAATCTTCATCATCTCCTGCTCCAACATTGAAACTTTCTCTCTTAAGAAGGAAAAACTATGTAGCATTTTAAAGACTAACAAGATGGTTTAATAGGTAATGAACTTCCGTGGGCCAGACCCACTTCCTCAGATCATATTCTGGAAGAGAATTGGCATAACCATATATATCAGAGGAATACAATGAAAAAAGTGAACACATTATTAAACTGACAAATCAGATTTAGTACAGAAGGTGTGGTGAGGGAGGGAGGGAGGGAATAGCTATTTATGAGTCAATGAATGGCTAATCAGGGGTGATAAGTGGGGAAGCTATCTTGTAATGGGGAAGGTAATTAGCATCTTTGTTAAGGCCCATTTGTAAAGTGTCAAATTTAAGCATGAATGAAGTTCTGAAGTTTCCCTCTGTAATCTGGTGTTAAAGTCTCTTTGAAGTAAGATGCACATAGTAAGGTCGTTAAGACTATGTCCAGCTAGGCTGAAATGAAAAACAACTTTTTTTTCCTTGTGAGGATGTCTGATGTCTGATTTATGGGCATTAATTCTTTGGCAAAGTGTCTGAGAAGTCTGTCCAATATACATAGCAGAAGGACATTGTTGGCACATGATGGCATAAATTATATTTCTGGATGAATAGGAATATGTGTTCTTGATCATATAAGTGACATGGTTAGGTAGGACCAGTGATGGTGTCACCAGAGTAAATATGTGGACAACGTTGGCAGCGGTGTTTGTTGCAAGGGAAAGTTCCGGGGTTGGTATTAATGTGGTATGTCCTGTGGTTGTTGGTAAGAATCTTCCTGAGGTTAGGTGGTTGTCTATAGGAGACTATGGGTCTGTCCCCCAGAGCCTCTCGGATTGTAGTACAGGCAGTCCCCGGGTTACGTACAAGATAGGGACTGTAGGTTTGTTCTTAAGTTGAATTTGTATGTAAGTCGGAACTGGTACATATTGTAGGGGAAACTCTAGCCAAACATTTCTCCAGAGCTCAGTTTTATTCTCCCACACCTCACTTCCCTCAGTCCTTTATTCTCAAGCTGAGGTGTCTGCTGAGAAAAGCCGCTCCGCGTCTCCCTGGTCTGCTGGGGGGAAGCAGCTAGTGTGGGGTTGTTCTCAGTGGTGACAGATGACAGAACAAGGGGCAATGGTCTCAAGCTGCAGTGGGGGAGGTCTAGTTTTAGGGGGGGGAAAACTATTTCACTAGGAAGGTGGTGAAGCACTGGAATGGATTACCTAGGGAGGTGGTGGAATCTCCATCCCTAGAGATTTTTAAGTCCCGGCTTGATAAAGCCCTGGCTGGGAGGATTTAGTTGGGCTTGGTCCTGCTTTTGGCAGTGGGTTGGACTTGATGACCTCCTGAGGTCTCTTCCAGCCCTTAGAGTCTATGAAAGGTGACCATAATAAGTCAGGGTATGTCTACACTACCCTCCTAGTTCGAACTAGGAGGGTAATGTAGGCATACCGCACTTGCAAATGAAGCCCGGGATTTGAATTTCCCGGGCTTCATTTGCATAAACTGGGCGCCACCATTTTTAAATCCCTGCTCGTTCGAACCCCGTGCCGCAAATGAAGCCTGGGATTTGAATTTCCCGGGCTTCATTTGCATAAACTGGGCACCGCCATTTTTAAATCCCTGCTCGTTCGAACCCCGTGCCGAACTAGGTAGTTCGGACTAGGCTTCCTAGTCCGAACTACCGTTACTCCTCATTCCACGAGGAGTATCTTCCTCTCCCGAGCGGAAGCCTAGTTCGAACTACCTAGTTCGTGCCGCGTGTAGCCGCGCGGCACGGGGTTCG